GTTGCCTTTCGGTAAATGATCTCATCCCTTAAATAAAATTTCTAAAGCGTCTCCATATGTTGCCTTTATGATTGTACGTCCCTTCGAATGTCCCTCAAACATCCAACGATGGGGCTACCTACTCACTAATAGTAGGATAGTGTTGTCTAAAGGATATGAGGAAAAGAACGACCCTTTTTTGAGTATAAAAGTAGATAGCTATTAGAAGTTTGCTCAAACATTTCGCACTTACACAAAAAAATACTTTTCTGAAACAATTTCAAAACACTTTGTATACTTTCTCTACTATCCCGAGAAACATTACAAAGTTTGCCATACTAAGGCATTTTCAAAAAAATTTCAAACACAAAGCACAAAGGTATTTTTTATAATGAGCAAACCTCTAAGAGCCCGTAGAGAAACTACGGATGGAAAGGGTGCTAACACCTTCCCTTTCCATAATCTACACCCCTTACTCAGAAAACTCTCGAAAAAGGTCTTTTTCTGTTCTTTTCACCCTTTCCTTTGTTGAATAAAATAAAAGTCGATTGTGACTCTTGCTTACCGCAACATTTGCAAACACAAACGCAAAACCAATATTAAACAGTCGGTTCTGTCACCGCATCATAATAGGTAAGTACCCTCTTGAAGTTTTAGTTGGCTCAACCTGTCCTAAAAAAGTATTCGGGTTCTAGGAGCCTCAATATCACTGATCTTTCTCTCAGGCATTATTTCAGCACAAGCATTTAATTTGCGACCAAAATATCCAAAGAGTCTGATCTCAATGAGTGTAACATCGAGTATCAACCAACATTAGTCTACACCAAAGCCGACTATCTTACTACTTTCTAATGGCTAAGTTGTGTCAACTAAGGTTCTATGGTTAGTTTGTACTTTATGACACCACGCGGCAGCCCATCATTCTCCTTGACTTAACTCAAAGGACACCGGTACCAACCAATGTGTCACACTAACGTAGCCATCACTTCAACCGTATCGGTATACGCCGCACAGTCTTCACGATCTATTTCTACTTACCTAAAATACCTCAGATCCGGTATAAGATCTTTATAATAAATACCCAAACAACCCTTAAAAATAAATTAGGCAAATCAAACAAGGAAAGAAAATTAAAGGTGATCTAACTCTAAGGTAACCCCACTTTTAATTATCCCCAACAGAGTCGCTAGTTCTGTAATACAGTGAGAGAATTTACTTTTGATTTTGCGTTTTATCGCAAATGTTGCAGATAGCAAGAGTCGTCATCGACTTTTCTTTTATCCAATAAAGGAAAGGGTGAAAAGAACAGGAAAAACCTTTAAAAAATTTCTGAGTAAGGGGGGTAGGTTATGAAAAGGCAAGGTATTAACACCCTTTTCATTCATAGTCATCTACGAGCTCTTAATCGCTAGCTCACTTTGAAAATTCCTTGTGAATGTGTAAGTTTGAAAATATTTTGAAAATGTCTAAGTTCGGCAACTTCGCAATGATTCTCGTATCGTTGAGAACACATACAAAGTGTTTGTTTTGAAAATATTTTAGAAAAGACTGTATGCATGAAAAAAATGTTTTTTTGTTTGTGAGCAAGCGACTACGAGCTATCTACCTACTAAAAAAATATTTTGCGTTATTTTCCTCCTCTTTTAGATAATGCTATCCTACCATTAGTTAGTAGGAAGCCCTGTCATTGGATGTTTGAGAGACATGCGCGGGTCATCGTACAGTCATAGAAGGCAACTCGCAGGACGCTTTAGCAATTGTCGAAAGGGACTGAGATCGTTTACCGAGGCAGCATCAAAGGGTCATCGAGGGACTATTATCTTTTAACTGAAGGTCTTTGCTAAAGCATCCCACGTTCGAGGAAGATGACTGTATTTATCTGAGGCAACAAGTGGGGGTCACCTTAGAGGTGCGAGTGTGCGAAATGTGTTGAGATTCAGTTAATTTGTCTTGGATTTATGGTTATCTAGCGTTTTCTTTTAGTCGTTGCCGTACAATCCTATTTAACTAGCAGTAATAAGGAAAGCAGTAAATTGCGGAAAAATAAATCTAGACTATTACAGAGCTTCGGGGATGGGGAGTATAAACCATAAAATGGGGAAAAAGTAAAGTAAACCCTAATTTATCTATTACATCCCTTAACAGTTACATAATCATGAAAATAATAATGCGAAAATAAATAAGCGCGCGGAGATTGAAAAAGAGAAAGATATTAAAAACCTAAAAAATTTCTAAGCATTTAGGAAAATATTTTTGGTGTTTTGTTTAGAAAAACTATTTTTATAGTGATTAACCCTAATTCTAAATAATTTACAAATTAATCAATAAAATAAAATCCAAATGTGATTAAATTAAGTCAATTTTTATTTATAAAAAACAAATTAATTAATCAAAACCTAAAATCTAATTTTTAGTGATTTTTGTGATTAAATAAAATTGATTAAAAAAGAAAATAATTAATTAAAACACAAAAAAAAAGGAATTGAAATGGGCCTGATGAAAACAAGTAAATTCGGGGTGCAGAATCAGAAAATGTCTAAGCCCAATATCTTAGGTTCAGGCGTTGGAGGGAGGCCTTCAGAATCCTATGCATCTCTCCAATGAGGCTTATCCTGAGTGCTCAGATCTGAAACGCTAGATTTAGATCTGTTGAGATCTGATGGTGTGGAGTTGGAGATGTATGGTACGCGTATGGACCTGCTTGGTACCAGATCTGCAAGAGAAAAGTATTGAAAAATAATATGCCAGGGGCAGGGATCGAACCCATGCCCTGACACACTAACACCTTAACATATACACGCTTGCCGCTGAGGCGACCACTACATCTGGTATATGAACCAAACAAAAACAATAAAACACAAAGTGAAATATATGGCGGGAGAAGCGTCGGAGCCCTAGCTCCGGTCGTCTTCTCCAGCAAGCTGCAAACACGAAACCTACACAAACCAAGATATTAATGATATAAAATAACATGTCCCCCCTAATTTGACCCTCTTGATTTCGAATATGGGGTTTGTTTTTACTAACAACGCCTGTAGCATTAGATGCAAAGAGATTGCATTTGACTGCCCTAACTATGGCATCTTTTGATCCTAACGTGGAATCTTTGATTTAACCACCCATACCTGATCTATAAGTTCACATAAACTCAATCAAATGTTAGTATGTCATGAAATGTGATTAAAATCAGAGTTTCAAAACTTAAAACCTTACCAAATCAGTGTTGTCAAGTGGGATGTTTTGGGCACAGTGGGACATGCTAATGGGCTTGAGGAGACTCCTGGGAATCTCAGGAGTGATGTTTGATCACTGGTTTGGGCTGAGAACTTCTGAAAATTAGGATTCGATGTTTGACTTTTTTTGAAAATTTTGTGAACAAAGCTTAGGCTTAGAGGCAACAGTTGCGTGTCTCTCCTTGAGATCTGAAGCTTGTGTAGATATGAGGCATCACATTAGGTTAACAAAAATGGTACACAATTAAATGAAATTATGGTGTGATTTTATTCCAAAATAATTTGAAATATTTCCAAATTTGTGAAGATTTACCTCCTTTCTTGGTCTACACGGTTTCGCTAGCTGGCCATCATGTTTATGGGCTTCAAATCTGATCAAAGACCAAGCCCATATGAAATAATTCATTATTTGTGATTTTTATTTAATTTACTTTGTATTTAATTGAATAAAAATCAAAGTAAATATAAATAAAAATCATGACAAGGTATGAATTAGTTTAGGAGGCTTCCATATAGTCATGGACATGTTTGATTTCCAAAACTTAGGTCCAATAGTTCAAAATTTCAAGTTTGTTCATTTTACATTTCATGCATTTCCTCAAACTTTCCCAACATGTGCAACTCATATTTTGAAGATGATCTGAGACTTTTTGGAAAGCTCAAGATGTCCTCTACAATTTCTCTTTTAGTCATTTTTGTATTTGGAGACTTTATCTTGATGTGAGTTGCTTTGACAAAAAATATTTTTTGATTGATTTTTGAAATGACCTATAATGTATGGGTTCATATCTTTCAAATGAGGCACTTTTTGGACTTGAGCATAAATACAAAGTTGTAGAGAATTGAATTTCCTTCAAAATAGTTTTTGGTTGGGGAAAAGTTGATGAAACATGTGAAAATTATGCTTGGTCAAAGTTCAATTGACTTCTCCTAAGGAAACCCTAATTTGGCAATTTTTGACCTTTGATGATTTGAGGGTTTTCCTTGAGGAATCATGATCAACACTTGATCAAATGATGAATATCACTTTAAAATGTTTATGTTGAAAAAAAATCTTGAAGTTTGATTGTATGTTGACCATAGTTGACTTTTTACCCAATACAGTTGATTTTTAATCCTCTGAGCCATTGACTGAGCAAACTTGTGATGCAAGACTTGAAACTTGACATGAACACTATTGAAGACCTATGATGAACCATGAAAATCAATTAAGACTTTTGCAAATCAAATTTCCTTGAGGAACTCAAAACCCTAGTTATAGACCTCTTGTTTAGGAGGAGGTTTTGATTAGTCAACTCTTAAATAGTTATGAACATGTATTGAAGAAAATTGAGAGGATAAATTTTGAAACTTATCTCTTGAACCATTCCTCGTGTAATCATTTTCATGATGCAATGGTAAAGAAATAATGGAAAACAAATAAATAAATAAATAAAATAGATTTTAAAGAGAGAGAGAAAAAAATTAACGAAGGGCTCTGATTGCAGCAACATTGGCAGTAGAAGATAAAAAGCAGGAGAGAATCTGCAACCCGAGTTGGACTTGATCACCTCTGGGCCCTCTCATGCTTTCTTTTTCTCTCTATCTCTTTCATCATTTCTCTCTCTCTCTCTCTTCTTTACCATTTCATTTTTTCTATTTAATTTCTCTCTCTTCACCATCACAAAATTAGAGCGGAACTGCTGCCAAGCAGCAGCGCATCCACTTTGTAACTGTAGCTACAGCTCTCGATTTTTGCTCTATTTTCACCACTGACTTCAATTCCTACCACCCAATCAAATCGAATCAATGTTTCCATCTTCTTCTTCATCTTCTGGTCCTCTATGGATACACGACGTGTTCGTCAACTTCCGAGGTAAAGACACTCGTCGTAACATCGTTGCTCATCTAGTTGCTGCACTAAAAAATGCCGGAGTCAACACTTACATGGACGACCAGCTTCACACCGGAACCGAATTGGGACACCAATTATTGGGAGCAATAGAAAATTCTCATATATCTATACTGGTTTTCTCCAAAAACTACACTGAATCTACTTGGTGTCTTAAGGAGTTGGAAAAAATCATGGAATGTCACAGATCTAATGGCCAATTGGTTGTCCCTGTGTTTTATTATCTCGACCCTTCCGTTGTTCGTCACCAGAACGGTGATTTTGGAAAGGTTTTGAGGGCTACTGCAAAAAAAGTATGCTTTCGCTCAGGAGGAGAGAAGATGGAAAAATTATTGTCAAATTGGACCGCTGCACTCACCCAAGCCGCTAATTTCGCTGGTTGGGATGTCAACAATTACAGGTACCTAAATCCTTTGTTTTATTTAAAACCCACACACTTCTGGCTGGTCAGATCGGTTAGATCTGGCTGGTCAGATCGGTTAGACATTGAATCAGGATTAATTGTAGTTTTATTAATTTGGTCAAACAGAAAATAAATTATAACATAATTTTAATTAAATTTATTTATTATTTATCGTATAATATAATAATTTAATAAATTTAAAAAGTTAGAAAATTAATTATACAATATGATAATACTACAAATTAACAAAAAATTTAAAAAAAGTCATGATACCAAAGAAATATAAAATTATATTTTCATATTATTAGAAGTCATACGGGTCGGACTAGTGACTCACTAATCTGACGAGTAATCTAGTGACACAGTAGTTTGACCGGATCAATAACCAGTCCGGGTTTTAAAACATTGCCTAAATCATCGTCACTTTTGTTTGAAGTGCTTAATTAAGTTATTCATAAAAACAGAGTTTAGTCTTTTTCCCAATATTATGCTCATTATTTGTGTTTTATAATGATTCTCATTAAAGGAGTGAAGGTGAACTAGTGAAGCAAATTGTTGAAGATGTTTTGGCAAAACTAAACAGCACATTCTTGTCTATTACTGAATTTCCAGTTGGATTGGAATCCCGGGTGCAAAAAGTGAATCACTTCATTGAAAATCAACTAAAGAAAGTTTGTGTGATTGGGATATGGGGGATGGGCGGATCTGGTAAAACAACCACAGCTAAAGCTATCTACAATCAAATTCACCGCAAATTTGTTGATAGAAGTTTTGTTGAAAATGTTAGAGAAGTATGTGAAAAGGAAAATAGAGGGATTATTCATTTACAACAACAACTACTTTCAGATATCTTGAGCACAAAGAAGAAGATACATAGTATTGCATTAGGGACAGCTGAGATTGAGAAGAGATTCCAGGCGAAAAAGGCACTCATTGTACTGGATGATGTGACCACAGTTGAACAATTAAAATCTCTCTGTGGAAATCCTAAATTGTTTTGTCCGGGAACTGTATTAATTGTTACAACTAGAGATAAACGCCTACTTAAGTTATTTAAGGTTGATTATTTATGCACAATGAAGGAAATGAATGAAATTGAGTCACTTGAGCTTTTCTGTTGGCATGCTTTTAGACAACCTAGTCCAGTAAAAGACTTTTGTAAACTCTCGGGGAAAGTAGTTGCTTATTGTGGAGGATTACCGGTTGCTCTTGAAGTCCTTGGTTCTTACTTATATGAGAGAACAAAAGAAGAATGGGAAAGTGTACTGTCAAAATTAGAGAGAATTCCCAATGATCAAGTGCAAGAAAAGTTGAGAATAAGTTACGATGGTTTAAAGGATGATATGACAAAAGATATATTTCTTGACATATGTTGTTTCTTTATCGGCAAGGACAGAGGTGATGTTACAGAAATATTAAATGGATGCGGACTTTATGCTGGTATTGGATTAACTATCCTTGTAGAGAAGAGCCTTGTAAAAATTGAAAAGAATAACAAGCTTGGAATGCATGATTTAATTAGAGACATGGGAAGAGAAATTGTTCGTGAAAGTTCAACAAACGAGCCTGGCAAGCGAAGTAGGTTGTGGTTTGGTGAGGATGTACATGACATGTTGACAAAAAATACTGTAAGAACTTTCTCAAAATAAATTTGAAACTTTTGATTATCCTCCAAAATCTTTTCAAGATCATAGGATCTGTTTGCTTCTGAATTCTTTTTCACTTTTAAATAATGGCTGAAAATTCTTCGGTGCATGATTAGAGTGTGTCTGCACTGTCATGCTCATTTCAAGTGTTCTTGAACTGCACCTCTGCAAGTTTATGTATCATTTTCTAGCAAGCAAACAAAAACGGTTTATCCTTACTCTTTTCTTTTGTTTTCCTTAACATGTAGGGAACATATACTGTTGAGGGATTGGTTTTGAAGGTGCAAAGAACCAATAGAGTCATCTTAAGTACCGACTCTTTCAAGGATATGAATAAATTGAGACTTTTAGAACTTGATCATGCTGTCCTCGATGGAGATTATAGGCTTCTTTCCAAAGAACTAAGGTGGGTCTACTGGCAAGGATTTACCTTCAACTATTTACCTGACGACTTTTATCAGGGAAATCTAGTTGTTATTGTCGTAAAATACAGCAGTATCATACAAGTGTGGAAGGAAGCCAAGGTATAATATTTTCTTCTCAAACTCAGTTTAATTACAGTAGTATTTGTTCCCGCCTCTCTAATTTTTCTTTTGAACATTTATCTTTTTGCAGTTGTTGGATAAACTAACAATTCTCAACGTCAGTCATTCTGCATACTTGAAAAACACCCCTGATTTTTCAAAATTGCCAAATCTAGAAAAGCTTATTATGAAGAATTGTCCATGTTTGGCCGAGGTACACCCGTCCATCGGAGATCTCAAGAATATTCTTCTGATAAATTTGAAGGACTGTACAGATCTTAGTAACCTCCCAAGCAAGATATATCGATTGAAATCTTTGAAAACTCTTATACTTTCTGGTTGTTCAAAGATTACAAAGTTGGAAGAAGACATAGTGCAGATGGAATCCTTGGTGACGCTGATTGCAAAAGGTACATCGATAAAGCAAGTTCCGTATTCAATACTAAGAATGAAAAGCATTGGATATATATCCCTGTGTGGATATGAAGGATTATCGCGTGCTGTTTTTCCCTCCCTCATTTGGTCTTGGATGTCACCAACGGTAAATTCCCTACCCCGTGCTTCTCCATTTGGAGGCATGTCGTTGTCTTTAGTTTCCTTGGGTGTAGAGAGTTATAATATGGACTATCAATCATCAATGTTGACCAGCTTGTCAAGTGTTAGAAGTGTTTGGGTTCAATGCGAGTCAAAGATTCAACTAACTCGAGAATTAAGAAAATTTGTTGATCTATATGATGTAAACTCTAATGATTTGGAATCAACATCTCATGGATCTCAAATCTCAAATCTTTCTTTTAGATCACTTTTGATTGGAATGGGAAGTTTCAAATTAGTAATTGACACTCTTGGCGAAAGCATATCACAGGTTTTTTTCTATGACTCTCCTCACTTTGTTAATAATTAAGAGAACGTGGAACTATTTTCCATTGCATTTTTTTACTTTAAAGCTAAAGTTCCCTAATGACGTGGATTTATTCAAGTATCGATTAAATAGACTAGATTTAATGATAAGTTTAGACTAGTAACATAGAAGTTAAATAAGGTTTTTTAGATGATTATTTCAGTTCCATTTTCAGTTTTTCTACATTCTATCTTCTTTCTTCATTTACACCTTCTTTACTTTGGTTCTTTTAATGTCTTGTATTTTGTTATACTAGTTGATATTTACTTTTTTATTTGGATATAAAATTATTTTGTAGATAATTTAGATTATGTTTATAATTATACTATTTATTTTTTAATGTGAAATAATAATATAAAAAAATATTTTGTATTATTGTTTTATTTTGAGGTTATTAAAAGATTTATTATGATTTCATTTTTATATTTAAATAAGTTATTATTTTTTAAACATAGACATTTGTAAAATTGATAGACAAAAAAGAGAAAGAATTGGATGACATGTAACACATAGGTCTTTGATTTAAGCATGCTCTAAAAAAAATTTAGGATAAAAAATATTTTTAATCAATATGATAAGAGTATATAATAATACATGTTTATTGTTTATAGAGTATCATACTTGTGGTGAAACTATTCTTCTTTAAATAATTTTAGTACAAATAAATATAATAGTAACAATAGTAATATCGTAGAAATAGAAAAATATTAAGAATAAAAATAGATGTATTTATGTCAATAATAATCTCATAGACCTCTAGAACAACAATGATGTAAGAATTAAAAAAAAATAAAAGTCTCATATCTTATACACCTGTTTCATGTGAAAAAATAGTTATATTTATGTTAACCAATAAAAAATGAGAAAGAAAGATAGAATAACTAACTAACAAAATAATATATCAATAAAAAGAAGAATTTTAAATAAGAAAATTAATAAGGTTATAGACATGGACTTATTTGAATACATATTAGACTTCTCAAATAACAATAACATTATAGAATTTTATCATCATCTTTTTTGATTCACATGTAAAAAAAGTCATATTCACGTCAATCGATAAAAAATTATAAAAATAGTTAAAATAGAAAATGAACAAAAATTATATAAATATAAATGTAATTTTAAATATTTGTAATGGAATGATTTGAGTTTCTATTATATTTGTAAAAGAATTGCTATCAACATGACATGTCAACACATAGGTCTTTGATTTAAGCATGCTCTAAAAAAATTTAGGGTAAGATATTTTTTAAATATCAATATGATAAGAGTATATGATAATACATGTTTATTGCTTATAGAGTATCATATTTGTGGTGAAGCTATTCTTCTTTAAATAATTTTAGTACAAATGAATATAATAGTAACAATAGTAATCTCAAATAATTTTAGTACAAATGAATATAATAGTAACAATAGTAATCTCATAGAAATGAAAAAATATTAAGAATAAAAATAGATGTATTTATGTCAACAATAATTTCATAGGTCTCTAGAGCAGCAATGATGTAAGAATTAAAAAAAATAAAAGTCTCATATATCTTATACTCTTGTTTCATGTGAAAAAATAATTATATTTATATTAACCAATAAAAAATAGAAAGAAAGGTAAAATAACTAACTAACAAAACAATATATCAATAAAAAGAAGAATTTTAAATCAGAAAACTAATAAGGTTATAGACATGTACTTACCTGAATATATATTAGATTTCTCAAATAGCAATAACATTATAGAATTTTATCATCATCTTTTTTGATTCACATGTAAAAAAGTCATATTCATGTCAACCAATAAGAAGTTATAAAAATAGTTAGAATAGAAGAATAACAAAAATTATATAAATATAAATGTAATTTTAAATATTTGTAATGGAATAATTTGAGTTTCTATTATGTCACAAAACAAATGGCACAATATATATATAAAGTGAAACAAAACAATTATAAGAGATGCGAAGAGCACCACCAAACACAACCAATGATTTATTTGCAGAATACAATAATAACTCATATATGTGTCTGTGTGAATTTTATTAGAACAATAATAAATAATGAAAATAATAATCCATCAAATTAGTTATTAAAATTTATATCAATATAATAAATGAGTGAATTGACATAATTAAATAATAGGAGTTATAGAATTAAAAAGGTGTAGGTTAAATATTCATTAGGTATATTAATATATTTATTTAATAAATTAAATTTATAAATTATTATTTTTGTGATATTTATCTACTCTTATTTTTTTAACCTTTCACTATTTTTTACTTTTCATTTTCCACAATATTTTTTTTTTTAATTTCAATTCATTGCTATTTTATTCATTATTATTATTATTATTATTATTATTATTATTATTATTATTATTATTATTATTATTATTATTATTATTATAAAATATAAATATTATAAATTAAATAAAAATAGATTAATATCACATATTTATATACATATGAGGTGATTATGCATAGAATAATAATTAAAAATAAAAAATAAAAACTAATTAAAATATTATTCAAAATTTTAATCAAAATATTAAGTGATTGAATAGTTATAACTAAATATTAGAGTTACAGAATAACAAAACAAAATATAGTTTAAATATTTATGTATCATATTTATATATTATTTCATCAATGATAATTTTAAATTATTATTATTATGATATTATTTTTATTTTAAATTCTTTAAGCTTTCTCTATCTTTATTATTCATTTTTTCATATTTTAAAGGGTTTTATTTCATTTATTAATTTCAGTTTATTACTATTCTACTCAATATTACTACATAATAGGAGTTACAAAATAGAAAAAATATAGTTTAAATAATTATTTGCTATATTAATAAATTTATTTCATCAATTACATTTTTAAATTATTATTTATGTGATATTTTACCTTCTTTTATATTAAAAAATATTTATGTAATTTATGTAATTTAGAATGACATCTTTTATAAGAACATTCTTTTTAGCTAAACTTTTATAATTATTATGATATTATATTTACTTTAATTCTTTAACCTCTCTCTATATTTATTACTTAATTTTTCATATTTTTCAGGGGGTTTCAAGTTATTCATTAATTTCACTTTACTACTATTCTATTAATTATTGTTATATAATAGGAGTTACAAAATAAGTTTAAATATTTGTTTTATTCATAATTACTATATAAAGTAACAAAATAGAAAAAAAATGTAGTTCAGATATTTATTTGGTATATTTATATATCATTTATTTAAATATAATAAATTCTATATAAATGATTTTAACAATTAATTTTAGGAGTATAAATTTTATTTATTTTTAATTATCATAATGATTTATTAAATTTTTTAGTAGAATAACACTTAATAAATGTTGTAACTGATAATTTTAATATTTAAATGTTTTTATTAATAAAATTAATGAGTTAATGCTTATAGTTTTTTTATTTTCTTTTGTTTGTCACAATGATTTATTAAAAAAATTGTATACTAATACACAATAATAAAATAAACAATGTTAAATGGGATATAAATTATAAAAAATTTATGTCTTATTTATTTGACATTTTTTTAAGCAAAATTTATTTGATATTTATATTTAATATAAATATAGATTTTTATAAAATATTAAAAATTTGAAAATTTGGTTTGAATTGAGAAGCTTTGTGACATCATCATAATTTATTTGATATTTATATTTAAAATAGATATATATTTATAATAATAACAATAATAATAATAATAATAATAATAATAATAATAATAATAATAATTATTATTATTATTATTATTATTATTATTATTACTACTATTATTATTATTACTACATTTTACTATTATTATTAGATAGATATTATATTATCATTATTAATAGTGGTAGTTTAATATTATTATATTATTATTATTATTATTATTATTATTTTTAATTTGAGAATTAGATATTTTTTGTATAAAAAAATTAGAATAAGAATTTAAGATATAATAGTGTTAATTGAATATATTATTATTATTATTTATAATTGTGGTAGTTGATTATTAAATTTTTATTATCATCATTATTTTACTATTATTATTAACTAGATATTATATTATTATTATTAATAGTGGTGATTTAATATTATTATTATTATTATTTATTTTAATATTATTATTAATTGTGGTATTGAATTAGAGTTGGCGTGAAGAATTAAAAATAAAAAAGGATAAAAATTCTAAATTCTAATATGATGTCAAATAAGTATTTAAATTCTAATAAGATGTCATACAAAAACTAAGGTTAGAGTTTGTTCATGATTGTTATCATGACAACATTAACTAGAAGTAGATTTGTTTTTGTCTTGACTCTTTATGTTTATGTGTACACATGTTTACTTATTTTAGTGTTATAGTATATAACTTAGAATAATACAAGAACTAGTTAATTACATGATTAACTAATCGTACGCTCATGATTCAGGGATTGGCAGCAAATTGTCCCGGTAACTTTGGTCTCCCGGATGACAATTATCCTTCTTGGTTAGCCTATAAAGGTGAGGGAAGTTCTGTGCCTTTTCAAGTTCCTGAGGACAGTGATTGTCGCATGAAAGGAATAATCTTATGTGTTGTTTGTTCATCAACTTCTGAAAATATAACTGATTGTCTTACTAGTGTCTTGATTGCTAATCACACAAAGTGCATATTCAAGATATACAAGCGAGACACGGCAATGTCTTTTAATGATGAAGATTGGAAGGGTTTAACATCAAATCTTGAGCCTGGTGACAATATGGAGATATTTGTAGCTTTTGAGCGTGGAGTGGTTGTTAGGGTAACAGCTGCATATCTAATATATGGTCATTCAGTTACTACCGAAACTGAGACATCAATTATCGTAAAAAAGGAGCCATCACGAGAAGAAAACTCGCAACCATCTCCCAATGTAAAAATGGAGCTGTCACCAAATATGAAAATGGAACCATCTCGGAAGCCAAATAAAGATACCTTTACAAGACTTGCAAAGAAAACGAGACAATGTTTGTGCTTGAAGTGATGTAATGGTTTCAACCAACTTTGATTTGGCATACTTTTGTTCTTGGTATTCCTTTGTTGCAAGTGTTTTACAGTATTTTTCTAAGAATGAGAGGAACAATTGTACTATATATGATATCCCTCTGTCAATGTAGCGAATTCCATCATAAAGACTCTAAATCACATTTTTGTTCAAAATCTTTGAAATATTTATACGTGGCATGTCGACTGTGTTTTGTTTTTTTATATGTGACATTTATATTAATATTATATTATTTCAATTTGTAAAAGTAAAAAATTATCAATTTACACCCATCAAGATTCATATCGAACACAGGTCCTAATTGAGAATGTTAACTCAAGTTATCACTAAACTACATTCATAACATGTAAATACGTTTTCATTAACAATATTTAATATTTAACGTAAATGAATAATTAATTACTGTATTGTTAGAAATCTATCAAATATCTATGATGAATTTCTACTAATTTTGATGAACAAGATTGATATCATCACACAATAACAATGAATTATGAGAAAAGAAAAGAAAAAAAAGAAGACAATTATTTTCTGCAGAGTTTTTCTCTGTCCACAAACCGTGGAAAACTTTATTAATCACTTGCAACTGCAAATTCTGTGATTACAATGAATTGACTTAATTACAAGATTAGAGATTACTCCCTCTATTTATAGATTTAGGTTAACTTGTTCCCTAAACCAAAGCCCAAAACTATAAAAGCCTAAAATACATATTTTGATACTAAATCAAATCTATCTATTTTAGATCTAAATCAAATTTATCTAAATCTAAAACCAATCAAATCTGTGTGTAGCTTGCTTCGATCCACAAACTCTTCGACTGGGTAACCTCCCTTCAACACACACATTGCTTCTTCACAATCGAATTACAATTTAACACACCATCCAATTCATTGTGTTTAAACTATCTATATTCATCATGGTTCTTAGTCTTCTGAATACTTCGACCTGCACTCCCTTCGTCATGGTGTTTGCAATCTGATTCTCAGTTCTGTAGTGTTCCAAATTCATCTTCCCACCTGCTACCCGCTCTCGAAGATAGTGGAACCTCATTTCGATGTGCTTGCTTCGACCATGTGTTATCGGGTTCTTCGTCAGATTGATAGCTGACATGCTGTCGATCTTCATGGTAATTACTCCATGATCTTTCCTTGTTATCTCTTCGACCAAGTTCACCATCCAAGTTGCTTGACATGCACAAAGAGAAGCAGCTATGTATTCTGCTTCGCATGATGATAATGTCACTACTGGTTCTTTTCTTGAACTCCAAGCAACTGGTACACCACCTAACATAAACACATATCCTGTTGTTGATTTTCGATCTTCAGCATCACTACACCAACTCGAATCAGTGTATCCCACTAACTTGCATTCTTTTCCCTTTTCAGCTGTAGGAAACAAAATGCCATAGTCGAGAGTTCCTTTGAGATACCTTAGTATTCTCTTCACCGCTGCTAGATGTGATACATTTGGCTTCTGCATGAATCTACTTACCATACATACATTATATGCTAAGTTAGGCCTTGTATGAAAAAGGTATCTCAATGACCTAATAAGTCTTCTATATTGGGTTGGGTCGACATCATCTTCATCTTCATCTTTCGACAGTTGCAGTCTTGGTTTTGCAGGTGTCGAAGTTGAGTTGCATTCTTCCATCTCAAATCTCTTGATAATTTCTCATGCATATCTTCTTTGATGCATCATCAAATCTCTTTTGCTCTTGTAGAATTCAATGCCAAGGAAATTTTAAATCTCACCTAGATCACACATTTCAAATTCCTTGCTGAGATCACCTTTGAAGTCGTCGATCTCACTTTTGCAGCTACCTGTTATCAACAAATCATCGACATAGAGACATAATATAAGAAATTCACTATTTCTTCTTCTTACATATACTCCATGTTCAGTTGTGTACTTCACAAATTCCTCCTCCCTTAGGAAACTATCAATTTTCTTAATCCAAGCTCTTGGAGCTTGTTTCAATCCATACAGGGCTTTATGTTGCATGTACACCTTTCTCTCTTCGTAATGTTTCACAAACCCAACTGGTTGTTTAACATAAACTTCTTCATCTAAGAATCCATTCAGGAATGCGCACTTCACGTCCATCTGACATATGTGCCATCTGTTTATTTATGCTAGACCAACAATCAACTTGATTGTTTCGATCCTAGCAACAGGTGTAAAAACTTCATCGAAGTCTATTCCTTCTTTCTGTAGAAATCCTTTCGCCACAAGCCTTGCTTTATGTCGAGTTACTTCTCCTTTGGAATTCATTTTCACTTTATATACCCACTTGACATCAATTCACTAGTGCAAAAATGACTTTTTACATCGGGTGAAACTGACTTTTTACATCGGTTCTGGGTCCGATGTAAAGTCAGGCGATATAGTAAATCAGGGACTTTTTACATCGGTTCTAGGTCCGATGTAAAAAGTCCTTTTTTTACATCGGTTGTGATCTAAGACTGATGTAAAAAAACAATTATAACATTATTTTAAAAAAATTGACGCAACATTTTACATCGGTTAAACGTGCGGACCGATGTAAAAAGGCCCTTTCTTACATCGATTGTGATATAAGACTGATGTAAAAAACAATTATAACATTATTTTAAAAAAATTGACGCAACATTTTATATCGGTTAAACGTGTGGACCGATGTAAAAAGTCCCTTTTTCACATCGGTTGTCATCTAAGCCCGATGTAATATATACAGTTTTGAAAGTTTTTACATCAGTTGAGAGTAATAACCAATGTAAAATGTAAAAAAAAAATTGGAATAAATTATTTATTTTCTGGATGTTTCCCTGTAAAAAAAAATTGGTACCCATTTTTTCATATTTTTCCAATATCACACAGACTATATTTATGTCGCTATATAGATTTCATAGCTTTCCAACATCACATAGACCACATCTAGGTCGATATTTTCATATTTTTCACAACAAACTTACAAAATGAACAATTGTATTGCAAACTTGTATTGTATCACAACAAACAAACTCACAACAAACTTACAAATATATATTCTTCACAAAACATACACAAATATTCAACTATTTATAAGTCTTTTAACAAACTTGAATTACCAATATAAAATCCACAAGTAGATGAGTTATAGCTTCGATAGACAACACCAAAATCACATTGCCTGATAATAAATAATAACAATTAACATCAGCAAAAAAAATCAAGAAACTCAATACATGTGCAAAAACCACATGTAATATGAAAAAACTCAATAATAACAATTATGTGCAAAAACCACAATTTAGACAATTCTATAAAACTCATCAGATAAACTTAATTTTTATATAACTCAAAGAAACATTTTGCCCAACGGAGTCGCAAATCATACAAATCATCTTGTGTTAATTCTGTTGGGTCATCAAATACCTATAATACATAAATATAACAATATAGAGTTATTCTTTAAAAATTCATATTAAGTCGAAAAACAAAAAGTAAATAATAAAGTAAAGTTATTTTTAGTACCTGCATCCAATTCTCAGTTATATTAGCAGAGACAATATCCAACATAATTTTTATCACATAGTATCCACAATCATTAGAGTTATATTGTTGCCTTGTCTACAATTGAATGACATAATTAGTGAATATTTATCATAAATTTAACTATAGAATTACAATTTACATCACACTTATATTGGGATGAAGCCATGTAGCCTTTTTTCTTTTTCCATTTGCCATTTGATGAATCCCAAAAGATCTAATACAGAAAGATAAACATCACATAACTAAATTTACTCGCCAATAAAAAATCACATAACTATTAGTTGCCAATGAAAGTCACATGAAAGATAAACTTACTTTGTAATAATTTTCTTCTTGTTCTGGTCAATTTCCCGATGAAGTGAACAAAATACGACAACTAAATTGTCTCTTGGACACATGACTATTAATTGCCAATGTCTCCTGTACGTGTGTGTGGAAACAGAAAAGTCACGTAAAATATATATGTTATCAAAATTAAATAATATAAAACACAATTTCATAAAAATTCTTGCCCATGAATTAATGGTAGTAAGTGGCACACTCTGTTTTCATCACGTAACTTTTCTAGTACGTAATTTTTAACATCCTCTTGAGATTTTGCTCCATTATCATTATAAATACACCTAACAGGGTCCATAAATCCATATAATTCTGAAATGGAACTCTCAAGACATACACGATGAATATACTTGAATAATTTTAAAATAAACATTAGAATCAAAGTGATGAGATATATAACATATTAATAGAGATTGACTTTAATAAAACAATAAAATGTACTTACGTGCACCAAATTTGCAGAATAGACACGTCAAGAATGACCTAAACCCACCAATAACTCTCTGATACACTTAGCTGAAATATACAAATTAGAGACACTCGCACAATGACTTAATTGTATTTCCAAATGGTTATCATCCATTTTCAAAACCATGAGTAACAATCTCTGAACATCATCAACTTCCACGTCTTTTGTGCTTCCTTTTGCAGCTGAACAACTTCCTTTTCCGCTTCCATCGATAATTTCCATTTTTTCAATGCACTTAATATTATCTGTGCTTTGTGATAAACCCATAGACTTAAGTGTCTCCATTAATGATTGTTGAAACATCTTACGCTCTTCAACCAACTTTTCTTCAAGTTCAGCTCTAAGTTTTGTTTTTAATGTTGCAAGTTGTTCATTTACGTCAATATGTTGACGTGACCTTCCAAAGTAAGTGCTTTGTTTATGGCGTTTTCCAACACCACGAACATGACCTCCATGCTCAAATGTTCCAATGGCTAATGTTAAGATATCGTTACGTCCATCCGGAACAATTGCACCTTTTTCAGCTTCTTGAACTAGAGAATCCTACAAAATGCAAAAACCACAATTAATCAATCACAAATATAATGATACTTAAAGTATTTTTCATTGTTTACTTACAATTTTTTCAGCAACCTCTTGTGTAGATTTTGAT